TGGGGCTTAAGGTCTGAACAACTTTGGGGTGGAGGGAACTTTATTCTGTCTACCACACCTATAATGGAATGGGGATCAAAAACCTAGTTCTACCCCTGAGTAGCTATATGAACTCAGGCAAATTAGTTAATCTATTATTGTGTTACTCTCTTCCTTTGGGAAATAGCTTAAAACAGTTATCTCATGAACTGCAGTGAAGATTAAATGAGGTGATAAATACAAAACATAATCACAGAGTCTGATATAAGGTAGGGCTTTGACATTGTCTGGTTCCATCTTCCCTTACCTTTCTGTCAAAAGTCAGCATCATAGTGGGAGGGAGCTAGATTTTGGACTCAGGTCCATTTGGATTCATAGCCATGCTCTGTGCCTACACTACACTGCCTTCTACAAGAAAGTCCCATTGTTAGGGAACACCAAGCCATGGATGATGTTACATACATAAATAGCTCCACTTTACTAAAGTAAGTACTCTAAGATTTTATTCTGATCGAGGTAAGAGACTTATACTGATCTAGCATCACTTCTGAATTGATTTCTCTTATGCAAACAGATGATATATTTAAAGGGATATTCAGGATTTATCAGCAGCATGTGTTGATAGCATGAAGCGATCCTCATTGATGGCCCAAGTAACAGTTCTGACCTTTGATAAACACACAAAACAATCAGCAGTGTTTGTCCAGAGCTCACATGTTCCTTGTATTACACAGCAGAAATATTCTCTATCTTAGGGCACTTTTTTAAAGTTATAACATAAAACAGTGAAGCAAGCCTGAAATCTGTCTTAAATGGTAACAAGACAATCTGAACTCTGCAGCTTAACAGTACCATGGTAACTGATTAGTTGTTTAAAATCAAGAGCCAGGTAGGGGTTGGAGATCTCCCTATCACTTCCCATGCAAAACCACAAAAATACACCTGTTAAATTCAGCATACTCTTGAGTAGAAAATGACTTCACTGTCAGCTGCCCACATCCTTTTCCTATATTTTGTTATGAGAAAGGGGAAAGAAACAAGAAAAGCATTCACTAGTGACAGCAACCCAGTTCATATTCTCTAGGCAGTGGTAACAATGTGAGGGATGCAGAGCACCACGGGTCCAGCACCACGGGTCCTGTTTGGGAGTTAATTAAGTAATTAGAAAGAGGAAATAATTGACTTATGCAATTAAGTGATGTCAACAAATTAACATTTCAAAACAACTCATTAACTACATAACCTTGACATCTTACAACTCAATAACAATTCGTTGAAGTTTTACTTTGACTAAAATTTATCGTAACAGCATTTAAATCTTATTTCTCACCAACTATAGCATTTCGCGGGTGCAGGGATATGTGCATTTGGGGAGAAGGCTGAAACAGGGATGGAAACCCATCCCACTTTGTTTTTCCCCCAAACAGCCACTAGGAGAAAAGGGTCTCTGGGATGTGCCAAGTAAAACTAATGGTGCAAGCCAAGTGTCTAAGTGACTTCACACTTTACAAAATGTGATCATATTCCTTATTCACTTTGCTTCTCACATTTACCTGTGAAGTTGCTGTTAAGGAAAATAACCCACATAGGTTAGTCAGGCTGGTCAGTAGTTACAGAGTTTGTGGACTCTCTGAATCTCCTGCCGAGGAAGGGGGTTCTCTCTGAAGTACTCTGGAAAACGTGATTTGGTGAGGCATTCTCTTCTGGGCTCAGTCTTTGAAGGCTTTTCTCATCTGGTGCAAGTTAGTTTTCTCCACTAGAGCCTGCAGGTCTCATGTCTCCCAACACCTTGGTAACTAGCACAGTAAGACTCAGACCTTCAGAACTTCAAGGGAATAAGTCTGTGTTTTTTTTATGACACTAAATTTGTGGTAATTTGTTACAGCAGTATCAGGAAACTAATAACAGATTTGGGTACTGGAAATGGCATGCTCTTGTAACAAATGCCCTAAAATGTAGAAGTGGCTTTGGAATTGGGCAATGGGCAGAGGCTGGGAGATTTTGAAATGACAGAAAAATCTCAGTTTGCCTTGACAGATGGTGAGTAAAAATGTGGATGTTAACAACTCTCTCAGTGAGGACTCAGAAGGAAGTGAGGAGTATGGTAGAGAAAATATTCATCATCTTAAAGAACTCTTACATTACCATAAATAGACTGTAAGTAGAAATATTAACATTAAAGGTACCATTGATGAGGGCTCAAATGAAATGAGCATGTATGAGACTAGAGAATAGGGATTCTTTGGATCATTTCTTGCCTGTGCCTTTGGAAATGGCAAGCAAAACTGTTTCCCAAGGTTGATATGAGGCAACCACGGAAAACTGTACTATTGTAACCAACTACTGGGAAGAATAGCCACAACTTTGTCACTATATAAGTGGTTTTATATACCCCTAAGCCTCATTCCATGTTCTAATTTGAGTGCTTCCAGTGTGTCAGCTGTATTTTTGGTGTGTGCACAATAAATATTTACTAATTACTACTTTAGTGATTCATTGGTCTTACACTGACTATTTTGAACCTTTGAAAATTTATTCATACATACTCATTCATATGTACAGAATGTCAGTCAATTATTTGAAAGGTTATGTTTCTCATGTCTCTCCTCAGTGGTCTCAAGAGCAGCCAGGAATATAAATGGGACTATCTAGGAAGTATCTGTGGAGGATCCTCTTGTTTTAGGGAGTGAACGCCTATGACACACATGGGAGACCCATAAGATTTTTAGGAATTTTTGTCCTAGGATGGGTCATACCCAGATTCCCACACCTGACTTAATGATTTAAATGACAAAGTTGGGGACTTTGCACTAGTGAGATTTAGATGAGATTTTGGGGCACTGAATTTATATTGCAATAGGTTGAGACTTTTTTGTTTGGATGGGGTGGATATATATTCCATGTAAGGTGGACATACATATTTTGGAGCTCAAAGGGGATACTGTGGTAAGAAAAATAATGTCCTGCAAAGATGACCATGTCTTAATCCCCAAATCTGTGAATATGTTACCTTACACGACAAAAGGGGACTTTTTTGCAAAAAGGCAGATGCAACTGAATTGAGGTACTTGAGATGGGAAGATTATTCTGGATTATCTGGGTAGGTTTAATATAATCATAAGGGTCCTTACAAGTAAGTGGCAGGAGTGTTAGAGTATGAACAAGAGACTTATACTCTGGTGGCCTCTAGAAAATGGAAGAGTCAAGGAAATGGATTCCCCTCCTAGATCCACCAAAAAGAATGCAGCTCTACTGATAAATTGATTGAGGCCATTAAAGCCCATTTCAGACTTCTGTAAGATTTAAGAATATGTGTTATTGTCCCTCCCATCACATTTCCTGTAAACTCTTTCCCCTATTCATAATAGACCTTTTAATTCTGTTTTAAGTGTCCTCTTTAACAAACATAGTGTTTGGTGCCAGTTTTTATTTCATTAATTTACAAGAATTTAATTATTTTCTATTTATTTTATGTTTTCATTGGACTAATTTTGTCACTTTTGCAGGGGACAGGGAAGTAGAGACAGGATAACAGAGATTTGTTTTGAAGTCTGCCTTGCTACACAAACTCGGTTTTCATATGTTGTCTTCTAGAAAAATTTGGAAAGTAGGTATCTATATTTAAGTTCATTATTACCAAATAATGATTTTTAAAAACATATGTATCTAATAATTGGACACAACATATATTATTAATGACTTGCTGGAAATGCTGGGTTTCCTAGCACCAACCAAGTCATATATCTTCTAAGTTAGAATTCTACTACCACTGATGCAGAATGCTGGCTCTTCCAAAGAAAACAAAAATCAAACATACTTAAAAATAAGTTCTCAAAGTTTTATTTTAAACGTGGCTTTGGCTGACACTGTGGATATACAAGAAGGTAGAATATACATAGAATCAAATAATACTGAAGGAAAAGTCCCCTAAATCCTCAACTTGGGCTCTAAAGCAAGAAGCGCAGCCATCAAAAAAGGCAAGCTGGGAAAGGGTATGGTGCATTCCAGGAAGAGTACTGAAAACTCAGGTGGGATAAAAAAGTAAACAGCTTCCTTCTAGAGTATTCTCTGGAAATGTCCACAGGTATTTGAATGCAGTACAATGGTGCCATTTTTCTAAAACTATTGAGAAACAACCTACACCACATACATGTATATAAATACATTGTGTGTATGTGAGCACACGTGTGAGATCTAACTACAAGAAGCAAAAGGCACCCAATAAAACTTACCTGCTTGTTTTTCAAAAGTTATGAAGAGCCTGGTACTAAGAAAAAATGAGCTGGCAAGAAAGGGAAATCAGTGATTTCAAAGTGAACGCTTTTATTTTGGACTTCTCTGTTCTATGTTCACATTTCAAACCAGATAAATACGTGACACATTTCTGGGTTTTGTTGTTCTTATTGTTTTGTTTTGTTCTCATAAAAATAATACAGCAAATGCACAAAATGCACACTATAAGCTCACTGAGTACTCACAAAATTCCATGAGGTACAATTCTGTCGTTTTTCCAGATGACGTACAGTGAAGAAAACTGAGGCACAGAGAGGCAACCAGAGTTATTGTTCATACCCTATCTTGGCACTTTTCTGAAACATTTCACTTTTAACTGGATAAAATGTAAGAAAATTCCCATTCCGAAATGCATTATTGATTATAGGCCATAAAACATGAACTCACTGGAACAAGGCACCAAAATGTGTCTCTTTGGAAGCCATGAGTGGTGCCTGATGAGTAATGCAAACCTAGGCTTTATTGCGATCTATACTGGCGTAGCAAATCAAATGAAGTCTCAGTGCTTTCATATGTACGTGTTTGTAGGGGAAAGAGGCAGAAGAAGCCTTTGTCCTTAACACACGATCCGAAATAACCCCGGTGACCCGCAGAGAGCTTTGAGTTATGTGCACGTGAAATCCTGGAGGGGACTCCTGAGCCGTCAGGGTCGCGCGCGCTCTGCGGGACTAAGGGCGCATGCGTGGCTCGGCCGCGGGAACGCACCGCGAGGCCGCGGGAGCGCTTACCTGGTGCGCCGGAGGCTCAGGCAGAGGACGAGGAGCAGCAGGGCCGCAGCGAGGACCAGGCCCCAGATGGCGGGTGGCTGCAGCAGCGACGGCTCCTGCGAGAAGAGGCCCATGCCCGCGGACACGTCTTCCATTGAGCGGTTCGCGCGCGCGCGGCGGCGGGCAGCCCGGCGTCTCTCTCCGAGGCGGGGGCAGCGACTGTGCCCCCTGCGGCGGCTGCTCTCGGCTGCGCTCTGTCGCTCCGGGCCGGATAGGCGGGCCTGTCCGTGGCGGTGCCCGGAAAGACGCGGCGAGCCCCCGGCTGAGCCGCTAAATCCTGGACTCCCCTCCCCCGGCCCAGCCCCCTCCCACGCGCCGCCCGCGCCTCGGTCGCAGGCCCGGCCGCTTCTGGAAAACCGCGCCCCGGCTCCTCGGGCAGGAAGGACTGCTTAAGGGGGGGAAGGGTAGAATCTGCCCAGAACGAGTCTCCGAGGACCTGGAAGAGGGGGATTTTTGTTTTATTTGGAAGTGAGTCGCTTGAGTTCCTCATCCCTTAGCCGCGCCCTCCATTCTGTAAAATTGACCTGGTTGAAATAAAATCTAAAGGCATCTTTTATTCCTTTTTTGCGTTTGCAACCAAATATCAGCATCATTAGATTCAATCCAGTTCAATTTATTTTACCTCCAAAACACGCCTTTATCCCATCACTTCTGTAACAGAGGTCACTAGTTGACCCTTTGAATCTACATATCCCTTCTTCAGCTATAGTCCTCGATTTTAACTGAGCATGTGATTGGCCTTTACAAAGACTGCTTTCCCAGTCTTTGGTGTAGGAAGTGTGGCCATGTGACTGATCGCACCAGTAGGCCAAGTATAAAGTGTTATTTCAGAAAAGGGCCCTTGGCCTTCTTTTCCTTTTCTGCTGGTTAGAATGTGAACACTATACCGGGAACTCAAGCAGTCACCTTAGCAAATGTAAGTATGTCCCGAATATTGCATTTGATGTTATTTGTTGTTTATAGGAAATTCAAATTTAACTGGAGATCCTATATTTTCCCTTGCTAAATCTGGCAACTCTGGCTTAATTCCAATGTAAGTGTTCATTAGGCATACAAATAAGGCAATTGTACAATTCTAGCTGCCCCACAGTGCCCTTTAGAAACCAGCCTCAAATTGTCCCTTCAACATCAGGATGTTAGCATCTTCTGCACCCTGACCTCCCTAATTAAACCAGGGTCAACAGATCTAAAAAGAGGCATGGAGTAGCCCTTAGAACTGGGGTATCCAGATGTGGAAGTGTGTTCAGCATAGGCAGCAACTGGCTTTATCATCTTGCTTCAGAAAATATTGTGAGCTACATGGTAAGATAGAAATACAAGGAAAAACAAAAGTAAAAGCAGAGGGAGAAGAAGACGGTGGTACCTCCAAATCTCTTAATTAATGTAAGGGCCATGAAAATCCAGATGATGGGTCATTCTCCAAACCCTCTCCCACCGGGCCAGGTGACCCTCATCTACCAGGCAGTCAGACCTATCAGCCTCTTTTCTCTATTCTCCTTATAATCTGTTGATTAGGGTTGGAATTCTGGCCCTACTTCCCTTCAGGCCTTCTGTTTTGATTGTGAAGAACCTGTTTGGAAGTCACCAATACTTGAATAATAATTTTTGTCCCCTGCCTTTCAACATCTGTCTCCTAATTCTCCTGCCCTTTATTTGAATATTTTAAGAAACTGGATTGAGACCTTCAAGTCTAGCTACTTAGTCAACGACTTTGTAGGATTGACACAGAAAAGGAGAAAAAAAAGAGGCTAGTCAACATGAGATTGTGGAGTGGCAGTGGGGGGAATTTAAGAACATGCACCATATGGCTTCAGTCTTGTAAATTCCTGGGAGACAAGTAATATGCTGGGGAAAGGGTAGTTTACAGTCTTCAGCTATTGGGAAACATTCGAAAGTACCTCTGTGGAAAATGTCAAAGCAGAATTCCACACATCTCTTTTCTAATTTCAGGAAGTTCCTAAAATCAGACTCGAGTTCTCAAGCATGAAAGATTCGACAACTTTTGACATAGTACAGATTGAGTTTTTGAGTCATTATCTCTCACTTAAAAAGGATGGTGGTTATCTTTCTTCCCTTCCTCATGAACTTTATCTTAACTAGCTTTGATTTCCTATCCCCTTCTGTTAGAATTAAGACCATTCTGAGCAAAACTGAAGCAGAAAAAGAGAAGAAAATAGAAGAAAGGAATGTGGATTGAGAGATCCTTCCAAGTGTCAGGTACTGTTCATGTTCTACACACATTGTCTTACCTAATTTTCAAAACCAATTTCTGAGTAGGTATTACTTCCTTTAACATAAAAGAAAATCAAGACTCGAAGAGTTTCAGGGCCTCATGATTATTCAGCTCTGACGTTCATTCCACTTGGAAATCTCTCTTCCCTTCACGGTACTGTCTTGGCTTCCTTAGAGTTTTCTTTCACTAACCCTTTACTACATGTGCTCAACCATTCTTGCCTCTGTTTTGATGGGTCCTGTGTTTACCTGGAGCTGCCCATAATCAAGGTATCCCATGGGGAGAGTTGGGCCTCTGCTTTATGCCTTGGCCTACTTCAAAGCACTTGTCTAGCTCTGAGGCTAGTCTCAGTTTTTCCATCTGCAAAATGATATGACTACCTTCCCCATAGGTTTATGAGGATGAAATTGTGAGGAGTGAATATATGACAATCCAAAATGCCTGGAGCTTCTCCTTTTTGCATTTGAGCACCTTCTGCTCCATTGGCATAGGGTATTAAGTAAAGATGAGTTTATCAGACAAATGCAACCTGGCTGAGGTATTACCTTTTTGATATATTACTTCTGTCCAGTTAAAATATAAAATGTACCACTTTCTTGTTTTCTTAAGGTAGCTATTGTGACTGCAGCGGAGAGAGCAATAATGGTGTATACTGAGACCTGGGGCTGCTATAAGATGAAAGTTATTGTTTAATTGGCACATGGCCGTCAGGGTCTGGGGGTTGCCATTGAGATTTTGGGGCCATGTGAAGAGCAAAAAAGACAATGGGAGTCATAATGGAGGGTGCTCAAAAGAAGCCATTTTATTCTGCATAAAGCTGTATTTTTTATACTTCTGTAGTGCTAATTCATGGTTATATACGTACTAAAGATGCTCATGTGTGTGGCCTTCATGGCCAGGTGTCTGGCCTTCAAAGCCCTTATCTAGCTCCTTCCTCATGGGTACAACACACTGTGTTTTCAGGTTTCTCAAGGCCAGACATTGGCTCCATACAAGGCCAGACATATTTGGGGTGAAGCAGTGAGCAGCTGTTCTCATAGAACAGTAGGGAAAGTGGGGGGCAGGGCTTCCCTACATCAGTCAGTAGTGATCTACTATAGAAACTGCACTGAACCCGATTAAAAATACCTTAAATCACACGTTTCCGATTCTGTCTTCCTCTACAATTTAAATAATCGTATTTACTTTTTAGTTTTCCTTTCTCCTTAAAAAATGTTTTGTATTGTTGACCTAGCAATAAGCTTGCACATACAGATATGGCAGACATGAGTGAATGAATGATGACCCAACAATAGAGTGTTGTTATATTTAAGTCTTTATATGTATATTTATAAATATATATAAATACATTTTAGGTAAGACCAGAATAAATTCTTTTTAAGCAGCTTTAAAAGTGGTAGAATAGATGGCTCTGATGATCTCTAAGAGGAAGGAGGGATTCAAGAGATTTGTCATTTCTTATTTAATAGTCTTGTCATTACTTACACACACTTGAGTTTTGAAAACTATGGCTTATAAATTCACAATCCCCTGCTAAACCTTAGTTCATATTCACAATCTGACCCTATGTCCCATGCCAAGATTCAAGACTCCCACTGTCTCTGTCTCTGACTTACTGGCTTGTCCAACATTTCATCTCCTGATTAGCTCTTGAACCCAGATTTCAGAGGACAGAAAGCATAAGAATCTCTCTAAGCTTTGTTTTGCATGAGAACCATTCCCTCCACCCTCACTCCCCAGCTGACTCTCACTTAGAGAAAATTGTATAGATTCAAAAACATTTTTTTCTTTTGTATTTGAGCTAGGCTGCTTCTTGGAAAAGCAACAGAGAGCTCTCTGGTCTGTAATAAAATCTACCCACACCAATTCTTCCACCAGGTTCTGCTCTTTCTACTGGGTATAGGAGAGGTGCTGGGAAACAGCCCTGAGAGAGACCAGAGCAGGAAGTTTATTAGGACAGCCTCTGGGATCAGCACCAGGGGTGGGAAAGGGAAGAAAAGAGACAGCTGGGCTGAGATACAGTCCCAACAGAAGATAAAAGGATGTCTAGAACTCAGATGGCCCTTGTCTTGCCAGTGGGTTTCAGCCCCAGGCAAGTTCACTATTGATTCAGTGTGACCAAAGAAAATGACAGTAAAATGTTCTTGGGGTGAAAGGGTTTATTACCTGGCTTATTCTCCTGGCAGTAGGTTGAGCACTAGCGTCTCTGCCTCTGCCCAGAGCACTGGGCCAGCTCTCTATATAGTTCAATAATAGCTTATTGCCTATGGGTATGGAAGTGGTCGCCTAACAACAGGCCAGTTACATCATCAAGTGGTTTAAGTTCAGTGAGGATCCTGGCCATAGGAACCCCAACTTCCCCACATCCTTCAGGATTGTCCAAAAGTTAGGTGAAGTTTCAGGCCTTTGGAGCCCAATATCAACCTGTTATTGGTTGTAGACTGCCCTCAGGAGAGGAGGAGGATGACCTTGGGTAAAGGAGGTCTCTCTGGCTGAAGGCCATTCCAGAAACCACTGTTGACACTCCTAGGAAATCAGAGCATAGGTCCTGCTATCATGACAGAGAATCTGAGTGACACAACAGAGAGTCCGCTAAATACATAGTGTCCACTATGGTGCCACAGAAATATATTGGGGCAGATAGCACATAGATAGTGATTCTCATTCATTCATTTTGTAGTTGTTCTCTGCTTCACTGGCAGAATTACAGTAACTGTCTTGCCAGTGGGTTTCAGTCCTGGGTAAGTTTACTTTTGATTTGGTAAGACCAAAAAATGACAATGGAAAGTTCTTGGGGTGAAAGGGTTTATACCCAGCTGAATTCCAGCAGTGGCAGGTCAATGCTAGAATCCCATACAACTCAGAGCAAGCCTGCAAGAAGCAAGCTGGTCTCTACCTCTGAGTCTCTTGGACCCCACAGCCATCTCAAGTCTCTGTACTCAGCGCTGACACCAGTCCAGCCTTTGCTCTCCTATAGCCTCACAACCTAGAGCACTGGGCGGAGCTTTTTATATTGAGTCAATAATAATGTATTGCCCACATGTGTGCAGTGAGCAAGCCAACCAGGGTCAGGTGAAAATCCTGGCCACAGGAACTTTCATTTTCTTTACAGTAACAGTAGACTCACAGCTTCTGAGATAATACAGCAATCATGTTTATTAAATGATTTTAATGTTAAAGAAAAAGTTGTAGACTATTTATGAGTCAAAGTTTTGCTACAATATTGCAATAAGGAAAGCCTCTAGGAGGTAAATTCAAACATTTACTCTGGTTA